ATAGAATGGTGACATACTTCTCGGGCACTCCCTTTTTTCAGTAGACAACTCCAGAGAGTAGCTCGGTCAGTAGAGTCAAACTCGACTCGTATGTCTAAGAAGACAACGATCGTTGGTCGGCCAAATGTTTGACGATGCTCGATTATTTGGCGGATTGTAAAGATGTGATCGATGCAACTCCGATCTGAGCGGAACCCATCTTGCTCTTGTTCGCGTATCAGGCTCCTTAAAAGCGGAGCGGTGAGCACCTTGGAATCAACATAAATGAGACTAATCCATATGTGGTTGGCGCAGCTAGCTCTTGTACCCTTTTGAAGACGGGCACGATATCTGCTAGGCCCAGACCAGATGGAATAACTTCAGTGACCAAAATCTCATGTGGGAGGGAAGTTAACTCCCAATGGTCCTCCATCTTTCAAAAGAACCGGGGGGAGTTTATCTGGGACAGGGGCTTTGTGGCGCTTTACGAGGCGAAGCTCATGGGTAACCCCACCCTCAAATGGTGGTGAAGCGTCTATACATTAGGGAGCACTAGATTGCAAAATGGGAACTCATCGGTGCTGCTGGCCAATTAAACTGCTACTCAAAATACTTCGCCCAACGCTCAAGTCGACGTTTTTGACATTGCACTAGCTCACCATTGGTTTTGCATAAAACTTCGCTTACCGTCGGCTTTTTACCACCAGTAGATCGGCTCAGGAGGAAAAGCTTACGGAAATTCCGCGCGGTTGCCGCTTGCTTCATCTCAATGATTCGCTGCATCCACCAGGCCTCGCCATCTTCCCGGAGAAGCTGTTTGAGCTCAGCGTTAGTAGTCCTGTGCAGTAACTGGTATTTAACGCCAGCACGAATTGCTCGACGGGAGAGATCGCACGGAGAACCAGGGGTTGACAGAACTACTGGTGAAGCCACAGATTAGAGTTGCAGAGTTGCACATGACGCCGCGGATGTGTCCAGCGTGCTTCAATGTCTATGTATGAGGCAATCTTCAGCCTTGAGGCCAAAGCATCCTGCAATACGCGGAGAACGTTCGGGGCAGAAACCTTATTCACGTGAAGCTGTTTCTGGCGACGCAGCTGAGAACCACCAAAACGTAGCATGACCTCGGCACACACTAGCGCGTAGCCCGAAGTGAGATTGGTACTCCATATTGATTTGCAACCCTGTATGCAGCCCCGCGAGCGCTAACTGACAGCGATATGGTCAATTTGTGTCCACGGCTCGCCAGATGATGGGGTCTCCAGATGGCGTGTTGGCGCCAGGATCCCCGAAAGCTAGTGTTTGACAGAAAGAGACCATGGTCGGCGCATAGCTGAAGTAGGCGATCACCGTTGTCTGTTTTGCGAATACCATGGCCGTGTTGATCACCGAGTTCACGTTCGTCAACTTCAGGTCTACTGACCTGCGCGTTCAAAGTCCGCGGCGAGCATCACGATGCCAGTGCGGCGCTTTTTACGGAGAAGGTCGGTCAGTTGATCACAGAACTTGTCCTTAACTGACCAAACAACGTCAGCTGGCTCCGCACCCGGACAGTCGCACTGAGGTTTCAAGTCGGGTCGCGCAGTTGACTGTTGGCGATTGTGACTTGCCACCAACTAGTCACTGCCCTTGCTTACTCGGACAATCTTCTTAAATCCACAGACCTCAAACATTCCTCTAGACACTGGCGACGCGATCGACGCAGTCAAAAGAACAGCAACACATTTACAAGCACAAGAAACACACCTACCTACCTGTCTGCAGCCATTTATAGATACATATTTACTATTGCACATTGCTGGATAGCTCGTTGTACTATTACTGTGATCCTGCCTCTAAAGGCATGCGTCGTGTAGCCGAAATATTTTCATTCCAGATGCGGTACTTCGCGATCTACCTCAAAGTGAACTGAGGTCTCAGTAGTGGCTGCGTGTCGCAACCCAACCACACGGCGGGTTTTCCAAGTCTAAGTTTGAATTCCCTTCCGATGTGCCAAGCATTGCTCGCAGATCTCCGTGGCATAGTGTTCAGGGCGTCAGCCATGAAACACTATGCTCTGAGTTCCACTCCAGCTCAGGCTAACTCCAACTGATGAGTCCAAACCAGGACGAAACCGCGGTCGTGGTGTGCCAGTGTTGGGAGGAACAACATCGAAATATTTCCATTTCAATTTATTTATTTATTCTAGTAGAGCGACCTCAGCATGTGTGCTCAACGTGATCCCACGCCAGCAGGACTGGCGGCTTCGGCGGTTGCGTCTCCAGATAGCGCAATATTAAGATGCCAGTGGAACTCACAGACGGTGAAACCAGTCTTAACTTCGTGCTATAGTTTTGTAAACGGGTCTCACTGAGGTAGCAGACATCAACGGCCGTAGTTTCTAGAGTGCGGGCAAGGGCCGCCTGTGATCCGATCTGCATCAGCGTCCGAACATTGAAGTTTGCCAGCTTCAATTGGGAACAGGTCACTAGAAGTGGCTTACCAACATGACATGGCACACCCTTGGACCTATGCTCTTGATCCTTATGGCTGGAACGCTCGTCCATGGCGGAACAATCTTGTGGACCCGGAAACGGAGTGTAAAGACCAAGAATGGACGGGGGTTGAACAAACGTGGAATAAAATGACAAACGGTGGTGCGGTAAAACCTGGTTTGGTAGGTTCGGCCGCCAGAACCTCGACCGAGGAGAACAGTTCCAGATTGAGAGAACAGAGAGAGCGAGAGCGGAGAGGGCGAGCTAAGCATTGCTGAGACATGGATCCACAAGTTGTGTGGACATGGTGCTTCCCCGTTGTCCAGGTCGAGGAAGAGGGTTGACTTAGAGAAACCCATCCGGTGTCTTGGGCTTTACAACCCCAAACCCGCAAGGCAGCGGAGCGGTTGACGTATACCGCAACTCATTGGGAGCCGGATATCTAGTTTAAAACAACACGGCTTTCGAGCAGAATCAAACTACTCAGGGCGCTCAAAAACCCCTAGTGAAGCAGCGAGGAGGCCAGGATTCCCTGGACCACGCAATTCTCCACTGACTACGAAGGTCGTTGGCACCTAGGTGGCTTATACGCCTTCATAGGACCTGGTGGTTGTCGAGGTTACTCACTTCTGGTCGCAGAAGTGAGTGGTCAGTGACCCTATAGCCGGTCACATTGACTTTGACTCAGTGTTTTACGAGCTCTTTTGGTATTTAATGAGGAACCAGTTGACCATTCCAGAACCACCGATATTCTATGACGCTGATGCTGGTTGTCCGCGACTGCTTATTCATCTTGCCTGTGAACAGGCGAGACTTATTCCCAGTTACCTTCGTAAGGAAGGCATTCGCCGATCCAAAATCTGGGTACGCGCCCGGTGGCGTACATCTCCGCCGAACCAACCGGAAATCGGTTCACTTCCGGTAGATAATGTTTAGGTTCTCACAGTTTTGCAGGCGATTGATGTCAGGCATATTGGCCGGTAGTTCGCGGGGTCTTCATGGTCTCTACCCTTGTATTTGGGCATGACGGTACCTACTTTCCAGTCCGACTTCAAGTGAGGGCCGAAATACTTGACAGATTGGGGTGGCGATGTACTCAGCGATCGTTTTGAGGATGGTGGGATGCGATCCGTCTGGGTCTGTGGAGGATTTCGTGTCCAGTTCGAGTAGGAGCTACCCGAAAATCTAAAAATTGATTTTAACTTGCGCCAAAGAGGAGTAGTTCGCAGGCAAACAGTTGCTGATCAGCTGAAGTTTCACTGAATAGACCGAGGAATACTGCGCAGACAGTAAGTTTGCTTTTTTATTTCATCTTTGTAGAGTACGGTGCCTTGTAGGATAGCGCGTGGATTCCACTACTCTTTTGTCAATTCACCTCAGTTAGGAAAAACGTTTTTTGGGACAGGTTTGGGATCCCATGACCAGTCTATGTTCATATTGTAGTCGTTTATCTAATTTTTTTAGGGTGCATAAGTTTCTGACAGCTTGATATCTGTCGTGTGAGCTTGCAATGGTCCCACAGTTTCCGTCGTCTTTTCACCATGGACTTTACGTGAGATTTTCCTCTACGCAGCAGTGCACTGAAGATGCCACTGAGCGAAGTGGTGAAACGTTTGCCATTAAATTATTCAGCTCGGAGAACCAATCAGAACCTTAACTACCAACCCGAGCTGCTGGTATTCCGAATTATGGATCTTATTTCCTTATCAGTCCAAAGGAGCCCTTTTGATGCTATCCTGCTCTTGCAGTTTGGGACAGTGTCCAATGAGCAGTATCATCTTAGATCATAGACTTTCTTATGCGTCATCAAGATCCAGGTAATGCGAAATACTCCAATCCATGTTGCTTGCACCTATTCTTAATCTGGGCTGGTCAACGCGCCAGCACTTTCAACGCAGTGTCACCTGATCGTGGATTGTGAGGCGTCATGTCCACCAAAAGGATACTACAGTGATCACTTTTCCGAAGGGGTTGGGGGATCGTTAGATCACTTAATCTCAATTAGACTGCCGTTGTTGTCTCCTCTTCTCTTTGCCTTTCCGGTTCGCTTACAGCCATCACTCATGCTAATTTTCACCATCTACCCCCAACTCAATCTCGATCCTCTCGGCAGCTGTGACGACGGCAAATAGTTCGACACGAGGTGCTAGCCAGCCGCACGTTACATCTGTAACGTGCAATGATTCTACTACGAACAGAAGTAGATCCGATGTGCTGACATGAAGGAATACACGATTCCGACAGTTATCACACAACAAATAGTAAAACCCAGTGGGTCAGAATCAAACTCAGTGAGGACGAGAGAGGGGCACTTCACACACGTACATCGGCAACAACCAAAGTCAGTTCCGGTGTACATGCATATAAACAAGAGATATGTGGCAATAGTAACATAATCTTACTAAGTGGCTAATAAGGTTGCCAAGGATGTTCATAGGATCCAAATCCATACATCGCCAGTACGACTGGAGGTGTGATTGCAGGGTTTCGCTACAAATTCAGTTATGATATGTACATCCATCCAGCTACGAGATATTTGTTTTGTATTGCAGCCTTCAGGTCTATTATGATCTACTTACATATTGGACACGCGAGCCCCCGAAATCCTTGACCGGACACATTTGGCGACCACACCAATTCCCAACAGCAGCCCACGAAGCTGGATCATTGCCCTTGAGGCAATCAGTAACTTTCCTGTGATCACAGTGCTTGTCGCGGAATCTTCAGAACCTAGCACGTTGTACTCATCATTTGTTTAATACATAGGTAAGTCGAAACTGACTAGTGCTTCCGTAGGCGCTGAAGACAGCGCCTTTCAAAAGGGGGGATAATGTAGCAGGTCCGAGAATCACCTTGTAGTGATCCATACGATAATAGATCGTTGAACCATAATTAGACTGTCATTGTCGTTTCCTCTTCTCCTTGCCTTCCCGTTTCGTTTACAGCCATCACTCTTGCTAATTTTCACCATCTACTCAACATAGGGTCGACCCCCCCCCTCGGAAGCTGTGACAGCAGCATTCAGCTCACCACGAGGTGTTAGCTCGTCGCACGACACATCCATTGTCATCTTTTACTAGGTGGTTGTGATATGTGCATCCAGCCAGCTACGAGGTATCTGTTGTGTGTTGTAGCCCCCAGGTCTATTACGACCTACGCATTGGACACGGAAGCCCTCGAAATCCTCGACCGGACGCATACTACACTAGAGCCAACATGGACACGGGTCGTTTAGAAAAGATGGATATTGACTATTCCAGCACAGTTGATGAATTATTATCGGCATTAACGTCCACGGCAAACGTGGGTAGTTTTTGCAATTTCATGCTTTTTAGGAACTTGTAATTGACAACGCTATGGAACAATGCATCTCGCTGGAAAAGCAAACGAGAATGGTTTGAGAATAGCTTCTCTTATATGTTTAGGCTTCCGATGCGATTTCCACAGGTCGTTTGCTTGAGTTCATGGTTGAACTTTTGGCTAATGCCGGAAGGTGGGATCAATTGAACAATCATTTGGAAACAATGACAAAGAAGCGGAATCAGCTGAAACAGGTATTAGTACTTTTAATGTTTCTCATGTGTAGGCTGTCGCTAAAATGGTGCAAAAAGCGGTTACATACGTGGATCAAATTCCTGTTGAGGAGACCAAACTCTCCCTTATTGCAGCTTTACGCAAGGTCACTGAGGGAAAGGTAATCTGACCTATTTATTTTCCACTGCCCGAAGATATACGTTGAAGTAGAGCGTGCTCGCCTCACCAAGGAACTAGCACGTATCAAAGAATCTCACGGTCAAATAGATGAAGCTGCTTCTGTACTACAAGAATTACAGGTTGAAACTTATGGGTCCATGGAAAAGCGAGAGAAGGTTGAGTTCATGCTAGAACAGATTCGACTTGGGCTGGCCAAGAAAGATTACATCAGAACCCAAATTATCAGCAAAAAGATTTCACCAAAATTTTTCAGTGACGGTGCTCATGAAGATCTGAAATTGAAATATTATCACCTTATGATCGAGCTAAGTTTACAATCAGATCAATACTTGGACGTCAGCAAATTTTACTGGGAAGTTTACAACACCAAAAGCATTCAGGAAGACGATGTAAAACGGTTCCTGGTATGTTTCAAGTTCAATTCGACCAAGTCCCTAGGCTCTTAAACACGTCGTCGCATATTTGCTTTTGGCTGTTTACGATAACGAACAGCACGATTTGATGTGCAGGAGAAAGTTGGTGAAAGACATGGAAAAAATCCCAAGTTACCTGTAAGCTACCTTTCATCTTTCATTGTGTATCACAGTTAGCATTATATGCTGACGGCGCGCATGTGCTGTTTTTCATCAGGTACCCAGCGCCCATGATTAAAAAATAATAAAATAAGTCGCCAGATACACGCCGTAACGGCGCTTCGCTGCCACGCGACCTCCACCAGTTCCGCGCGGGCTGATTATACCGCGAGGTGCTCATTCCTACGCAGATTCGAACCGGTGACCTTACGGTTGCAAATCAGGCGCGTAGACCAATCTGCCACCGGCCCCTCGTTTACCAAACTCTTTTCTATTGCATCTAATGCATACATGAATCTGTTTGTCGTTTCTTTGGATAGCCCACTATTCTTGGATATTTAGTCACGCCCGATCTTCCTTCGCTTACATTTGTTCACGCTGCTTCGTCAGTCTTAAGATCATGCACTTGTTTTCTCTATAGCTCACCCACTGTGGTCTGGATACAAAAGTGGATACCAAACCTCTTACCCTATCACTTCCATCGCGGATGAACATCGATGACTGGAGTTTCTGTACCAACTCGTCATTCGATCATGCAGGAAACACCTGAGCTAGATGATTGACATCCGTTTTTGAGTATGACGATGGTATAAGGTGTCCAAGAAGCACTTCTCAGCTTCCATACCACCAATGAAGCCCTTATTGCGGGCCATGAATAGTCAAGCTCCGTTTGAATACCGAATTATCCGCCCGTTGGTTACTGACTCACAGTGTTTCATGAAATGCTTTAATCGACCCGGGGCATTATAGTAAACTGTTTGCGCTAGAATTCCATGTGGGAACTGTACTAGGGCTTCAACCTTTTTTATGATATCTGTATTCTCAGGAGAAGCGCTTTCTCAGCCGCCTGATATAGACAGGACCACATAAACCGCGCTCCACCGCAACACATTCGTCTGTGCACTACTTAGTTATACTGGCAAATCTTTTGTTTGGGAACTGTATCAAATCTGATCACTGACTGCTTTTGTGTGCACAAAGGAAGATTGCATGGTAGCCAAATTCCACTAACGCGGTCGCATTACATTTACCCGGAAGCGGACTACAAACGCCGCTGGCCAAGCCGACGAGACCAATGAGCTGAAGGCATGCACAGACAGTGATGTTCAATTGAATCCTCTCTTGGCAGCCTACTGAAAAGTTCAACGCGACTTTCCGGCTCGTCGTCGACACATATAACTTCTCTGCAGCAGCGTATTCTCATACATATATATATATATATATATATATATATATATATATATATATATATATATATATATATATATATATCCTTGCTGAGGCTGATGTTGCATTCATGATGCTTCTTCACCGCACTTGGGCTAAACCAGCTACACCGGGGATATCAAGCAACAGCCAATCACTTAAGAGAAAGCTAACAAAGAAAATAAATCGAGTAATGCATAAGGAAACGTGAGCATATGAAATAACTTGTTAGCAAAGGATCCGAGATAAGTTCACGAGGTCAGAAAGTATATTTTACGGAAATGACACAAACACGAAAATGTCATCAAAATTAACTACAGTTGGCTTAAGCGAGGTGTGCAAGTTTATAGAAGAGCGTACAGGTAGACATTTATATGAAAAAGAAACGCATTAGGACACAATTGAAAACCCACCACCTGAAATAAAGAAACTCAGCATGCAAGCACGCGGTTAGTAAATCGAATGCAGAGTACCTACAAACACTGCGCTGGTTCTGCCTACGTTCTCTGCAGAACCCGTCGTCGCTTCGGTAGTGGTCCTGCGTGGCCTCGCTCATGGCTCACTAAGCCTGCCTGACTCAGGCACTCGCGACCGCATGTGCCACAGCACCATGCGCTTGATGTCGATGGAGTACAACCCATCGTTGCTTGCTGTTCCTGCACTTGCGGCTTCTCTGCATGTATGAGGTCATTTTCCCGCACTTCGGCAACCGCCTTCGTGATTAGCTCGCACCATGCACGCCGACCAACCGCCTTCGATTTCCGTGACCTGCAATCAAGATTAGAACGTAAGAGGCTCACTTTGATCATGTCCTGGTAACATAACTTTGCTTTCCCCACGTGCCGCTTCCCAATACTCATCTGACCGTATAAGAGTGGTTTCGGTATCCGCGTCGAATCCATACGGCTCACATGACCGAGCCACTTCAGGTGTCTCAGCAAAACTATGCAGTTCACTGCATACATCCCACTTTTCGCATCACTTCCGTCTCCGCAACTCTGTCGCCCCAACCGATGCGCAAAATCCGTCGCAAACACTGCTGATAAAACCACTCGAGATATCGCACATCCCGCCGGTGCATCGTCCACATTTCACTGCCGTATAGAAGAACGCATTTGTACACCATCAGCTTCGTGCCAATGATAAGCTGATGGTTGTTCCACACTCAGTACTCAAGCTTCCCGAATGCCGCCGCGGATACGAACTCACTAAGTATCTGCTGTTCAGTCGGCATCACACTTCCAAAGTAGCAGACGCGGGCTTTGGTTTCCAATACTTCAGCACCAATGCTGATTCGTGGCAATATTGAAGATTGCACCTCCGGTGAAGGCTGAGAGAGACAGACAGTTTTACTTGTGTTGATGGTGAGCCCGATTTGGACCGCTGTCGAAACCGGAGCACTAGTCGTGTGCTGCAACTCATCCGCGTTGTGTGGAAACAACGCACAGTCGTCAACGAACAGCAACATACGGATAGTTGTCCTACAGACTAGAGTTCTGTCACAGAAACGACGGATGTTCTGCAACCCACCATCAATTCGGTGCCCCACACGAACACCGTAAGCACAAGCGGCATCAAATGCACAAGACATCATTGCATGAAGATATATATTAAACAGCACAGGAGCTAAGACACAGCCTTGCTTCACACCAGAGACAACTGCGAAGTCATCCGAGGTCTCTCCACTCAGCTGCACTCTCGCTCGCATACCACTGTGCGGACATTCAATTAAACTTACGCACTTTTGCGGGCACGAAAACTTACCGAACATCAACTACAATGCCTCGCGGTTCACCGTATCAAATGCCTTGGCGAAATCAACAAAAAGCGGGTACAAAGGATAGTGTCGTTCTCTGCGCTTCTCCTGCAACTGACGAGCGGCAAACCCCATATCTGTAGAGCTGCGACCCGAACGGAATCCACATTGCTCTTCCGCCACGTTAGATTCCACAACCTGACTGACGAGGCGATTGAGCAGGATTCGGGCAATCACCTTGCCCACACAACTCAGCAAGTTGATGCCACGATAATTCGTGCAACATTGCTTGCTCGCTTTGCCCTTGTGCAGTGGTAGCACAAGGCCATCCTTTAGCGCAGGAGGCACCTCCTCCTCAATCCATACGCGTTGCACCAAGTGGTGTAGCGTAGTCACCAACGCGGGTCCGCCGTGTTTCAATACTTCAGGCGGGATCCCGTGGGCTCCGGCACACTTACTGTTTCGCAGCTGAGCAAGTGCTCTCTGCGTTTCATCCAGTGTCGGCATGTCCGCCAGACTCGTCTTCACATCGTGCTGCTTCAGGCCGTTCAATGTAGGTCAGTCGGTCTCTGAACGGTTGTCCACGAGACAGTCAAAGTGTTTCCGCCAGATCTGCATTATGTCTGCAATCTGGGTGCAGTTAGCGCCTGAACTACCATCGATCAGTGTCCTCAGCGGCTCCAATCTCGATTCGTACACCGGTTTCACAGGGTCAAAGCCTTCCTTGTGTTGTCGGCGTTCGGCGAAGCATTCCATCTGCTTCGCCTTCTCCGTCCACCATGCATTTTTAATGCGACGGAGCTCTCGGGTCAGTCGCCGTCGAGGTTTGCGAAATTGACTATTTTTCCTGGGGTCTGTGACATATGCAGCAAATGCTGCATTCTTCTCTGACACCAATGCGCCAATCGTCGCATTGTTCTCATCAAACCAATGAGGCCGCTTACAGTTTGCGCGCCCGATGGTCTCCTCGGCAGCAGCTGTCACCTGGTCGCGAATGTGGTGCCACTGGTCGCCCACTGTGGTTATGCATTCCATATCGCACAGGTGTGCAGGCATCGCCTTCTCCAGCTCAATACGTTTCTCCACTGTACCGGGGGAGAGAATGTTAAATTTACGCTGATTCACGGCGGGAGTGCGGGAGATAGATTTACGAAAATATATGTACAGTTTGGTCTGCACCACTTTGTGATCAGTGCCACACTCAGCTCCACGCAGTGCATGTGTCATACGCACTTCACGCATATCACGCTGACGTACGATGACGTAGTCGAGCAGGTGAGCGTGACCACACTGTGGGTGCGTCCAGGTTGCTATATCACTCGCACTCAGTGCAAACCGAGTGTTCGTGATCGTCAGGCTGTGAGTGGCACACCGTGATAACAGCCTGTCACCGTTCGCATTCGCTGAACCCATGCCATGCGGATCGATAACATCTGTCCACACTGATGCATCACGCCCAACGCGCGCGTTGAAATCACCCGGCAGAAATAATGGGTCGTTCCTTGGCAGAGACCGTTTCACAGAGGATAGCTGTGTGTAGAATTGATCATGTATATTATCAGGATAATATATGGTCGGACATTTCGTGCTTATAAAGGTGGCAAACTTACCTCTTCCGAGTCGTAGGTGAACAGTTATCAGTCGCGCGCTGATGCCTATTGCTTCACCCACGAGCTGGCCATGGAGGCGATCGGATATTGCAAATCGGACCCCATGTTCACGTGATGCTGAGGTGGCGTTGCCCACCCAGTAGAATGTGTAGCCAGCAGCTGCTTCATGCAACATACCTTGCTCAGCGAGCGGAGTCTCACTGAGTGCCGCAATATCTATGTGGTAGCTCGCCAGTTCCATCGCGACGAGTGCAGTGCGTCGCTGGTGGCGCTCACTGGAGTTCCGGTCCAGTAGTGTGTGCACGTTCCAACACCCGATGCTGAGTGCTTTGCGCGCAGGCATACGATTGCATTAGTGGGCAGTCTCTCGCGAGGTGGCTGATGTGCATCGCGGGTTTGCTTCGGGA